AGATCCTCACCGCTGCCTCTCCCCCCCAAGACTTCGTGGTGCACCAGGTCCTGCCCTTCCAGTCGGTGTCAGCCGAGCCCTTCACCTATGCCAGCGACCTGTACGTGGCCCTGGCACAGCCCGGTGCCAGCAGCTGCACCATCCTCAAGTGGGACTACGTGGAGCGCAAGCTGCGGGACTTCGACCGCATCCCCGGTAAAGACCCCGGCCTGGGGGTGGGATTCCAGGGTCGTGCCCACCCCGTTTTGGGGTGACTCGGGGAGGGGACGACCCCGTGGTGATCTGTGCCCTCCCGGCAGCTCACTCGGCGGTGCAGTGCAAGCCCATCGTGGCGCAGAGCCAGCTGTACGTGGTGGTGGCTCAGCTCTTCGGGGGCTCCTTCATCTACCGCTGGGACACGGCCGTGGATAAATTCATCAAGATCCAGGACATCGACAGCCAGAAGACCCGCAAGCCCAACGACATCGAGGCCTTCCAGATCGAAGGGGACTGGTATTTTGTCATCGCTGACAGCTCCAAGGCTGGTTCCACCAGCCTCTACCGCCTTCTACTCCCACCAAGCCCTCCACGCCTGGCACCGCGACACCGACGTGGAGTACGTGGAGAACGACGGCAAACCCCGGCTGATCATCTCCAGCAGCTCCCAAGCTCCCGTCGTCTACCAGTGGAACCGAGCTCAGAAGCAATTCCTCCCCCAAGGGGAGGTGGGGGAGATGTTGGACGTGCAGATGGTGAAGCATTTCAAGGTGAAGAGGGACCAGTTCCTCTGCCTCAGCCGCTACATCGGCGACTCCAAGGTGGTGCGCTGGGAAGGGCAGCGCTTCGTGGAGCTCCAGACGCTGCCCTCCCGCGGCTCCATGGTGCTCCAGCCCTTCGTGGTGGAACGAAGGCAGTACCTGGCTTTGGGCAGCGACTTCTCCTTCACCCACGTCTACCTGTGGGAAGAGGAGAAGCAGAAATTCAGCAAGTTCCAGGAGCTGTCGGTGCAGGCGCCGCGGGCTTTCCGCTACGTGCCCGCTTCCGACGTGCAGCTCCTGCTGGCTCCCAGCTTCAAGGCCAACACGCTGGTCT